GGTAATAATCACTAGACTAAGATATGGAGGGGGGGGGGGCATTTGAAGTGAGACACACTGTATGCTGTTGAGTTCACTAAGATTATTAAACAGCAAATCATCATGAATTAATTATTCACATACATTTTCCCTTTTTTTAGATTGAGAGTGCGATATTGGTTCTGCTTTACACCGAAAAAAAAAACTAACGGCCACCAATAAATTTTGCCAAATTGATCACCCTGTAACTTTTTTAATTCTTGTCCGATTCTGGTGAAATTGGACCAAATGGTATATTCATGTTTCGAAATGTTAGCCTGCATATTAGGTCCTTAGAAAAGCCGATGGCTTGATCATTATAAAGGGTAAAACAAAAATTACTCTTTCACCGTTAATTTCTCTCAACGCCCTGTGTCAAAAGTGAGTCGTTAACTTAGCTTCATTATGTTTTGGATTGGAGTGTGATCCCTGCTTAACACAATGGTTTTTGATTCACGTCGATAACCACTATTTAAGAGAAGATACAAGTGTTTTAAGAAAGAATGTTTTCGTTTTTATTTCAATTAATTCAGAACCATTCTCCAACCGTCTGTTTCATCATGATTTTTGAATTGAAGTGGGATCCTTTTTCGTCCCTTCAAACAAAATGGTTCTAGATTCAGGTCAATATCTTCTTCGTAACAAATGTTCAAAGAAATTATGAATTTTTTTTATTTTTATTAACAATAATTCAGAACCTATCGTATACCATTCATTCATTCACGGAGAATTCTAGGCAATACTTCAAGACTGCTTATAAGAAATTTGATCAACTCGATGCCACGGCGATTGAATGCTGTAATTCAAAGTGGAAGAGAGCATGAGGTAGGTACGGGTAATAAAGCCTGTCGGCCAATAAGGCCTAAGCTATAAAAATGCGAGTTAAAATCATCCATATCGTTCAAGGTCACACTGGTAGGTTGCTAAAATTCATAGATGGCGTCTCAAACTTTCCCCGCGATGTGTTAGTTCGCTCACTGCCACCAGAGTTGCTTCATTTATGTGAGGAGGGGTCGTGCGGCACAAATAATAAAAAATCGTTAGAATCAATCGTGAGTTTTGTTTGTAACATCACACTTATTCATATAATTTTGCGCTATAGTTTACTATTATTTAATGCTTCAGCGACTTCGATGTTCAACTAGTATATCATGGTCTGGATAAGGCTACTTTTGATTTTTCTTTACACATTGTTGAAGGTTATTAAGGCCTACTAAATATGACATGAGATGATCTAGATGCGGCAAATGGTATCTCCTCGGGTATCACGTCGGATTGTCACCGGATGATACAGATGATTTGAGGGTCCTGATGGCTGCTATACAAAGACATTTGTCTTTATTTTTGAGACCTGAGCATGATCAATGCATAATCTTTAATTATTGATTTCAATTACCAAAACTTAGGCGCCTATTTCGATTTTTTATGAATGTCAAAGTCTCAGGCCTTATTATCCTACCATAGTATAATAAGGCCTGATGACAAGGTTTTGTTAAATGTTTGATTTCGTTTTTGTTAACGGCAGAAGTTGCCATCTTCTGATTATTTTTTATAGTACTAGATCTCTGGCTATGCTTAACACTACAATTTGTTGAAGTGCGGATGAATTTCAAGTCTCCCCTAGCACTTACCGCAATTACAAAATAAGTTGGAATTGAGTGATATTAATTCTTCAAGTTGCTATTCAATAAGTTCATGTAAGTTCTGATTATCGTTAATAAAAATTGAAACATTCCAAACTTTCTTAAAACACTCGTATCTCTTCTTAAAAATGAGATATTGTGGTGAATCCAAATCTATTGTGTTAAGAAGAGATCACACTCTAATCCAAAGTATAATGAAGCAAAGTTCAACCTCTCAATTTTGCCACAGGGCGTTAAGAAATAAAGGGCGAAAGAGTAACTTTGGTGTTTCCCTGTATAATGAATCTACGATTTGATCGAATCTTCACAAATATCGGACGAGGATTGAAAAAGTTACAGTGTGAACAATTTCGGCAATTTTTTTGGTTTTGGTGGCTGGTTTTCTTGCCGGTGAGTGTAGTTTTCTCATACTAGTTTAGCTTGATCTGAAAACAGTTGAAATGCAATGTAGAGTACTTATTTAAATCTTTTAGTATGATTCCTTATAATAGTCCAGTGGGGTGATTTTTTTTATTTCCTAAATATAATCATCACTCAAATACCTTTCAATTCCATATTTTTTGAGAATTTTTTTTTAGGTTCCTTACACACAGTGGAGTAATTGAATGCCAATAATTCATTTTCAGTCCACTTGCTCATTTATGAATTGTTTGCTTCTATCAGGGTTCAGTAAACTCATAGAATCAGTACTTAACAAAAAATATGGTTACACCAGAGCTTCCCTGCCTCAGAATGTAGTGAAAAACACTCTATTGTTAAATTTCATAAGGTATCTACCTACTTTACAATTTTATATTTCAAGTAATATTCATGTTGATGTAAAGGTGTATATTTCTTTAACATTCCTACTAAATTGAATTTTATACCTAACATGTTTTGGAATGACTTGTATTTATCTTCCAATTTTTATACTTACATTTTTTTCTCTATATTATATATTATAAATATATTATTTTATATGTCAATATTGAAAAAATATATGGATTATTCTATATTACTTAAGATATTTTATTGTATCCAACCTTGAAGTTTTGATACCCCATTATTAGACCCATTCACATAGAAAAAAAAAATAGTCACAGAAGTGGTAGGTACTGATTGTGATTAATTCAAATTGACAGGAGACCCTCAAAAACTTTCGTGGGTGTTACTATTCAAATGGTAATCATCTGTCATTATAGTAATATTAGTAATGTGCTGTGGCTGTTGTGTACAGTGTGTCCAGTTTTCGATGCTTTTGCCTGATATCTCAGTTATCTTTGGAGATAGAACCTTGCGGTTTTCGCGGTCCTGTGCCACTTTTTTGGGAAACTCAAGATGGCCATATCAGATTTTGCAAGACTGTTTCCGTTTATGAGATACAGGGCGATTTTGAAAATTTATACTTTTTGGACCCCCTCTATATCCACGAAGTTTCTCAACAAAAATGTCAAATCAAAATCTTATCGCATAGAGAATTTCACGCATAATCCAGTGGCGCACTTAATTTTTTTTTCGGTGTATGGTTTTGGAAATACGACTCAAACTTATGATTTTTTAAATGGAACACCCTGTATTTCATAAGCTCATTAAATTCCTCATTTTTTTGTCTTCAAAATGAGATATAACGAATGAATATAACATTTTCAAAATTGCTCAAAATCACTAAAATATTGAATTTTGATAGTTGGTTATGGATTTTTCTTATAAAAAACGTTCCAATTGAAGAAATATTCCTTTAAATTTTTCCATGGAGAGGTCAAAATCAATATCAACACTTATTAATTAACAAAACATTAAACTTGGGTACCTGATAGCAACAAATAAATAGTAATAAAAAGTTCATAATGTAGAATAAGCACCTGATTAAAAATTTACTAAAATAATTGAATTCCGGAATTATTCAGTAACTTATTTATGGACATGTTCAAAGCGATATAAATTTTTCCTAACATACAGTTGACAAACTTTCTTAATACTACTTAATACAGTGAGTGGCCCAACATACTTGAAGAACTTTGTGCAACGAACAGAGGCAGTTTTCCAGGAATTACAAAGACACCTTTCAATGATTAATATGTATTGAGAAAGTTTGTGATGGAAAATGGACATCAATTTGAACAATTCAATGAATAAATCACTGAATAATTTCGAAATTAATTTGTTCTACTAAATATTCAATCAGGTGCTTATTCTACATTATAAACTTTTTATTACTATATATTTGTGGATATCAGGTATCTAATTAGTGTTGAAATTGTTATTTCCCCCTTCATGGAACAATCAAATATTCCTTCAATTGTAAATTTCTTTACATGAAAATCCTCGAAAAACCCATAGCCCACTATTAAAATTCAATGTTTTAGTGATTTTTGAACATTTTTGAAAATTTTATATTCATATATCATTTCGAAGGGAAAAAAATAAGGAATTCAATGAGCTTATAAAATACAGGGTGTTCAATTCAAAAAATCATAAGTTTGAGTCGTATCTTCAAAACCACACCCCGAAAAAAAAATTTTTTGTGCCCCACTGGATTCTGCATTAAATTCTCTATGGGTTAAGATTTTAATTTGACATTTTCGCTGATAAATTTCGTAGATATGGAGGGGGTCCAAAAAGTATAAATTTTCAAAATCGCCCTGTATCTCATAAACGGAAACAGTCCTGCAAAATCTGATAAGGCCATCTCGAGTTTCACAAAAAAGTGGCACAGGACCGCGAAAAAGATAACTGAGATATCATGCAAAAGCATTGAAAACTGGACACATTGTACACTGGATTTTTCCATTGTTCACATGGTTTCAGTACTGATGTTAAGCATAGAGTGTTCTAAATGACTTGTTATGTGTAGGCTTTGTAACCAACCCCACACCCTACCTTATGAGCAGCACTGTTTGTTTTGATGTAAGTGACCAATAAGCACAACCTTACATAAACCAATGTAAACAGTCAACAAACCACTATGACAGCTTAAAAAACGGGCGTATGCTTATTTTCTATCATGAATAGATAGCATGAAAATAAAAAATAGTGGAACACAAATAACAAAACACAAGTCATCTTGGCAACACTGTTTTACCATCAACATGAAGATGGTGGACAATTTTTTTCATCCCTGGTATGATTTCTGTGAAATATTATATCACCTCCCAAGAGGTTGATGAATATGAATTTTCAGTCTAAATTTTGAAATTTGATATTACCCTATGAGTTCAGCATCATTTCTTCACTGAAATGATTATAATGGAAGATGACTTTTTCATTCCAAAATTCACTTAAAAGTAGAACAAAGTTCTTCTAAGGACTGACTCAGCTTGCTTTTATGTGAATGATAAATAATTTGTAGATTGTTAATCCAGATTTTACTTTTATTTCATATATTTTTCACTCAAATACAAAATGTTCTCTGCTGCACATTTTTCTAAAGGTTCCTATTCACATTCATTTGTCTTTTCATCTCAAAAGCAATAATACCTAATGCTACACCAATATTCAAACTTTCAACATTGTTACTCAATGGTACATTCAACCTCACCCCATTTAACTGTTTAGCTAGATTGTAAGAATCTTCACTAATACCTTCAGTTTCTCCTCCAACTATGAGAACAATGTGATCTGAGGAAGTGAAATTCACTCCATAATAAGGCAAAACAGGTACACTTTGAATCAATTGTGACAAATTAGTTTTTGATGAAATGCTATCATCTCCACCAGCAGATATGGTATGATTGTCTGCTATGAATACAGATGAGTTTTCCTTCAAATCTCCTGAGATTTCCTCCCAAGTTTGTTTTCTATGTATCCTCAATCTGAAGTGAGTGCCACATGCACTTCTGAGGACTTTGGAATCCCAAACATTGACACAACCTAAGAAATTCAACAAATAAATAATTTAAAATTAAATTATCTGATCTGAAACAAAAGAATTGATTGATAACAAAGCAAATAGAAGTTACCTTTAGTCAGAATAACTTCTTGACATCCTAAACCACCACATGTTCTCAATACAGCTCCTAAATTGCTAGCCTCCCTAATATTATCACAAATTATAGTCAGAGGCAAAGAGTCTGATGAGGGTGTAAAAGAATCTACATCAGGAATTTTGAATACACCTACAAAAAACATCATACATAGGGACTGAAGAGGTATAGGTTTAATGTATTTTCAATATATTACTGTCTAGTTGTGAGTCTAGTTTGTTGGTAATTATACTTCAAGAACTTGTAAAAAAAACACTATTTCAATACCACTTACCCATTATTCCTGGATTGGTTGTCAATCCTGACCACATTTGCATTTCTCTATAGGGCATTTTATACAATTTTGCACCCATATTTGGCAAATATGGTCTCAGATATTCTACTTCTTTGAAACGGCTGAATAAGATGTACTTAAGTGTACACCCTGATTCCAAGGCATCTTTTATTAACCTTTTACCTTCCAGGAGAATCAAGTCATTTTTATTTCTTTCCTTTTTTGATTTCAGGTCAACTAATATTGACCCAATTCTAGAATCATTATTTTGCATCTTTGTGTAAATGAAGTTTCCTTCTTCATCAATGATTGTTTCCAACATATCTGTAGTAGTTATCTTAGCTTTGATATGAGCCTGATTATTCTTGGAAATGGTAAGAGGCTTCTTGGCATGAGATTTCAATGCATAATTCAGAGCAGTTTCTTTATTTTTTGTTGAGAGATTCTGTTGATCCGATAAAAGTTCTTGATGAGGATATTCATCATCAATTTGAAACTTGCTAGTTTTAGGTTTGTCTTGAATTTCATCATATTCTTCAGCTGGGATTACATTAACTGGTGATCTAAATTTCCACCTAGGTAAATGCCGAACTTGACACTGCATGAACTGGTTGCTATTACTTAAAATTGGTAAAAGTAATCTCTGAAATGATGACATAATATTCAATTGAATTACACTTAATGAAAATGGATTTGAAGGGATATTAAAAAGATAACAAAGACAAGGTTCAAAATAGTTCAAATCTAAGGCATAACCACAAAAAAACAAACATTTATAACATAACCTTTAAAGAGTTTTAAGTTTTGAGAATTTCATCACTGACTTGGCAGACTGCTGCTCTTTAAGTATGTTGTTACTTATATTCTAATAACCTACTTCCTACTTGTCACTTGTCTACAAAGGTCTAAGGACTCTAACGAGTAAGGAACAAATCGAACGATTAGTAAAAAACTGTGGTAAAAAATAAAAGATTTTAACCTAAAAAACAGGAATTATATGCAGATTTATAGAATTTTAGGAAATTTTTCAAAACATATCTTCAAAAGAAAATATTCTTCAAATACTAAATCTTTCTTTTTTCATCTACAACAAAATAACCTAATGATGGATGCAAACTTCGATAATGTACCAGGACCAGGATTTGGATTCAAAATTTTGCCTTCACCTGTGAAAAGTGCAAGTGACAAGAAGGAGTACACGTAAGACAAGTCTTCTAAAATGTATCGAAACATTCTTATGAAATTCCATATTTTCAGAGTCATTCAGCTAGATAATGGTTTGACTGCTTGTCTTATTTCTGATAAGGAACCTATTGTGAATGAAGATGAATCTTGTGAGGAATCTAGTGATGAATCTGAAGGTTCTGAAACAGAATCATCAGACTCAGATGCTGACTCCTGTCAGAGTTCTGAATCTAAACAGTGTAAATCTGGTTCTTCAGCATCTGAGTTGAAAATGGTGAGTATTTTAAGATAACAGCATCAATACTGTCTCACATGAATAAACAAGTATATATTTTGATTTTCCAGGCTGCAGCTGGACTCTGCATAGGGGTGGGAAGTTTTAGTGATCCAAAAGATGTTCCTGGTATGGCTCACTTTCTTGAACATATGGTTTTCATGGGAAGTGAAAAATTCCCAGCTGAAAATGATTTTGATTCTTTTATAAAAGTGAGTACTTACCTACCTCACACCTATATGCACAGTCAATCCATACAACTTTTGGTTCAATTAAAAAACTGTCAGGATGTTTTTATATTTTCAGAAAGGTGGTGGAAGTGACAATGCTTCTACAGACTCTGAAACAACTTGCTTTTACTTTGAGTGCCTTGAAAAACATTTACATGAGGCATTAGATAAATTTGCACAATTTTTTATAGCACCTTTGATGAAAAAAGGTGCCATGACACGTGAACGTGAAGCTATTGAATCAGGTTGGTCACTGAAGAAGGTACTTTAGTACCTGAATGAGAATCTCACTAGTAGTTTTTAGAGTTTCAGATGGCCTTGCCTTCTGATTGGTCCAGAAAAGAACAGCTCTTATGTAGCTTCTCCAAGAAAGATTCTCCAGTGAACTCATTTGCATGGGGAAATCTGATAACATTGAAAGAGAACATAGATGATGACAAACTTTATGAAGGTGTTCATGAGTTCAGAAAAAGACATTATTCTGCACACCGCATGACCCTGGCTATACAGGTACATATTATTTTCAATTCAGATAAGTAATAGTAGTAATACCCAGATAGAGGATAAGTATACAAAAATAAGAGACCAAAAAATATCAAAACATGATGGGTTTAGCACAAAAAATATTAGGCAAGTGAATTAATTTCTTTTTATTCCTTAAATAGAATCAGCACTGAAACACCTTTCAATCTCATATTTTTTTAGAATTTTTCAGTGTATTTGAAGGTCTCAAAATCATCAATAATGCCATGGTAATTTTCAAAGGGCTAGAAATTAACCACCAGAAAATGTCAGGATTTCCTTAGTAGGGGTCAGTGTTGCCAACAGGAACCCAGTTCATTATAGTACAATGATGTCAAAATTATAGTACAATCAGAATATAGTACAATTTGATGAATCCCAATCTCAACTAATTCCCGAGAAATATCAACATATTCAATGCAAAAATCAAGGAAAAGTTTCCTATAGAACACCACTGCAATGAATAAAGTGTCCTAATATTGTAGGATGATAATGATAATTTAAATTCGAATTTACCGCCATATATGCATAGGTTCAGTGTGGCAACACTGAATATTTGTGTCAATGAAAGACGGACTGTCATTACTGTCAAATGTCATATAGGAGATTTTTCACTTCATGGCTTTGGAGAATAAATGAAAGATGGTATCTAGTCTGATTGAAATTTTAATTTTTGAATCTACATCCATCTGAAAGAGTAGGCCACCCTACAATATAATGTATTATGAACCTTAAATAATAAAATAATTGAGGAAGGGGATTGAATGAAAAATCTTTATTAAAAAAAACAAAAAACGAAAATCTTCCATAAGTAATATGGCAGAGCAGAACAAACGAAAATATTTTCTTATACATCAGTCTTTGTCAGTAGTCAAACTTGATTTTCTTGGATGTAGTCGTTTTTCCTTTGGATGCTTTAAAATCATACATATTTTGATTATGACATCTTATCATAGTTTTACTAGGCTGAAATTTGATAATAAGACTTTTTTATTCACAATTTTTTCAGATTCGATTTGGATAATTTAGTATCCCATGATATGATCCGATTATTCTACAATTTTAGTATGCTTTGCTCAATTATAGTACAATTCCCATACTATAATTACTCTAAAATTGAGTAGTACATAAATTCGAAATTATTATACATGTACTATAATTATAGTATGGTTGCCAACACTACTAGGGGCAGCCATAGCACAGTTGCCATATGTTAAAATAAGATTGGGTACCTCAGAAATATAATTTATACAATAATCCATAAATTCTCAATTATGTAATGGTAATATTCCTAATTAACATTAAAAAATCAGTTGTCTCAAATTGTTCCCTCATGTCTTGTGGCCCATTGATTATAAAACATGTGTGTGAATAATAATCATATCAACTCACACTAAAGGACATTTGAACTGTTAAACGCTCAAGTAAACGTGACAACAGCGCACGAATTGTGGGCGTGGTCTTGTCAGTTCTCTAATAAAAATAACTAAAAAAGGCGAGTGGACGATCTTGAACTCATTTAATAAACTGCTTGGGAAAATATAATATAAAAAAGTATAGATAATGAAGACAACTGACTGTTACACTGTGACATATGACTGAAGTATTAGCACAAACATAAAACATCCTGACGACTGAAGTTTGACAGATAAAGCGCCAGTGGCGGCGGTTATGGTTTCATAGAAGGACAATCAATAGCTCACACAAGCTCAACAATAAGCATAGAGCATAGAACACAGAGAAATACTTTTTGGGATTCAGCACAATGTTGCCAAGTCTCCAACATTTACATGATATTTTAATATGGAGTATAAGAAATATTTGGACATGCTGGTTGCTTGAAAAAGTCAAGAAGAAGGACTCAATCAACGTTTTGATAACATGATTATAATTGGTGACTTGGCAACTGCTTCATGAGTGGGTATTAAAGATTATCCGACCAATTATTATGAAACAGCATAAAAACTGAGGTAACCATTTATTTGTCGTATCACCAAATGGTGGCCTACCTTTGAAATGACCAATGAATTAATTTAGGTCCCTAATGATACAGTGGAGTAATGGAATGCCAATAAGTCCACTAGTCTATTCAAATTCCAAACAAATTAAAGATAAAATGGTTGAATAACTTTTGGTTTCAAAACTTTCTGATATTAATTCAGACGTTTTTTTTAACACTTATGTTTGTTATAGAGAATTTAGAAATAGAATTGAGTTTTGTTGTTTGTAACTTATTAGTAATTTTACCCAAAATTAAGTGTGACAAGTTGGAGCTGGTGGTCCACTCATCTAAAAATGTTGATTATCATAAAAAATACAGGACACATAATTTTTTAGGATTCAAATGATGAATCATATTGCTTCCAATGTGTTATCACTAGGTAGGTTTTTAGAGTGAATAGAATCATTTCATTGCCCATAAAACCTCATGGTTTCAATTCAAACATTTCAATTCATTAGGTATAATGAGTCAGTTAAATTGATTCCATTATGAAATATGATTGTTTTCAATTAACTGATTTATTTTATATGCACTTTGTTTCTATTAAAGATCACTTTATTGTCTTATTTTGTGAATATTTATTTTGTGAATATTTATTTATAAAGACCATGTTTTTAATTTTCCTCCAACATAAATAATGAAATTTTAATGGAAACAAATTCAATATTTTCTCGATATATACATCAACTACGTAAGACAACATGATATTCATTTATCATTCATAGGCAAGGCTTCCAACAGAAACACTCCAAAAATATGTTGTGGAGTGTTTTTCCAAGGTACCAAATAATGAACTTCCTGCCAATGATTTCACAGTATTCAGCAATGGATTATTTGAAACACCTGAATTCAATAGACTGTATTATATGAAACCTACAAAGGATTCATGTCAGGTGAGATGCATACATTTTCATTGTGAACCCATGATTTGTGACTTCTTTGGCCAGTAGGCATGAATGTTGTGTCAATCTATTGAACTAAATCTAGTCGAATTCAATGATAATATTTTATTGTTCAATAATTTAGGTTGATCTGACTTGGAGTTTACCACCATTGCGAGAGAAATATAAAAGTAAACCAGTTCAATATGTTTCATTTTTGATGGGAGATGAAGGCAAAGGAAGTTTGCTATCATACTTGAAAAAGAAGTAAGCACCACATATATAGGTAGTGTATAACAATCAAGGTTATCAGTACATTATTATTGTTCATTTAATTATTTATTCCTACTGCCACCAATCATCCAAACATCTTCATTTTGCAGAATTTTTTCATTACTATGATACAAGAATAATTTCAGGTGATTCATTGATTAAATTGGAATAATGAAATTTCCAAGATTTTATTCTTACTCTTACCACTTCATCATGAGGTAGAGGTACTTATCTTCAAAGTTGAAATTTGTCAAATTCCACTGTTTTTTTCAAGATTTTTTCGAGAATTTGTAGACACCAAAGTGTTTCCTAAGTAAAGAAGTAAAACCTACTTGGTTAATTCCTATGTTAATGTTCTCTTTACATAAAGTTTCTAAATTCACATTTTTTTATATTCTCTCACATTAGTACAAAAGAAGAAGTAGTCAGTAGAAGCGGCGTTAGTAGCATTCTCTTGGTATTAATCAAAACCTGTTAGCTCTCATTATGATACCTGTTGCTTATTAAGTGAAAGTGGTACATTGAAAACTGCAAAACCTCAGGGGCAACGGGTGAGGCAGAGGTATAAAATTGACTACTGGTGGGTGGAGCTTAAACACTACGCCGATGACCCAAAAACCATTACTCGTTTGTGAATCCGTTCCTAGATCAAATTACGAGGGGGAGTCTAAAAATTCAGTACGACGCGGCGGCGACCGCGGCGTGCTGACTTGTCGTACATTGTGAAGAACGCTCCAAACGTTGTACTGTCGACTAGTGGTGCTAGTCGTTATAAGCTTGAAAAAAGTTGTCATCTGGGTAATGGATGCGTACATTTAAATCCAGCAAGGTGAATTCATTTCGGATAGCGAGAAAAATCACTCCGATTTTCGAAGTTGATGCAATTTCTTTTTTTATTTTCAAGAGCTTGGTTGTTAGTATATTCCGAGGTATCTTCCAATGATTTTCACACGACTGGAAAGCTGTTGTTTTTGTATTCTCTGGATACTAATTTCTCCTCGAATTATATTTACAAATGCAACATCATTTGTTAAATTTCTTTCAAATTGTTATTTGCTTATTGATTGATTTGAAGTTGTTATAGTGTAAAACAAGAAATAATATTGAAAGAAGAAATGGAATAACAATAGGTCAATAATATTAGTTGGGACGATTCCTTGCGCCAGGAGTACTAAAATTTTGTAAATACAAAAAAAAACAGGAGATTTTTTCAATTTTCATATCGGGTCCAAACACATAATGAACAGATATTTGTTTTGGTACTCCTCAGTTGACCCTGGATTTGGAAGTATTTATTATGGCATTGGTTGATGGTCCTGTTTTTTTCCAGAATGTTATTTTACTCTCGATTATCACTTCATCCACAGTCATAGTTCTGGCTCCATATGGACATTTTATTTCCACAATGGAGTTTTTTCTTTCCGAAATTCCGTCAGGACTGGCAGCTATGTAACTAAATTCTTCATCGAATAGTCCACATTTTCAACCTAATTTTGTGCTTTATATACTACACAGCTTGATAGAAGTGTGCGAGAGTATGTGTCAGAATATGGCGAGTTATTGTCAAGATATCCGGTTAGTAGGTTTAATAAGATCGTGAGGTACTATTCCAGTTCAACTCACCTTATTTCTTCGTCGAATTTTGGATCGAGATGACACTCTCCACGATGACATCGATAATCGCTTTCTCGAACTTTTACGTGTACGCGACATTGTTGAAAATTTTTCGAAATCGCAATACTTCCACTGTGCACAAATCATTAATGATTGCTCCAGCAATACATGGACATACAGAATTATCTCACCCCGCATGCTGAAAGGTTTCCACGCTTCTTTTCTATTGGTAGCTTTGAAGTTACGAGAACAGCAAACAGCAGTACCTATTTTTTATAAAAGGTGAGGATCAAAAGACTGTAGACGCGTGTCAAACCGCAGCGCTAATGAGTCGTCGTGGAAGAAACTGTGATATCGACAAATAAGTGCATCCTTTTTTATTGTGTTTAATATTTTCTTGATATGCCTAGAACTGGATGGCAGTAGATTTTCTATCGTTTCCACAATTGTTTATGATTCAACCGTCCTAGTTATTCCAGAGGTAATCGTAATTCAAATTATACGTGTAAATAAACCCTTATAACGGGTTATTTTTCAAAATATTTCATAATTCTTCGACTCAACAAATATTATCGTTAATTGTGAGAACCTCACCATAACATTGCCGTATATTCTTGATTTTCTAGCTATATTGGAGCAGTCTGAAATGATATGAAATACTGATAATTTGATATTGCTCTGGAAATATGAAATATTAATTTTTTACACATGCCAGACCCTCGTAATCATTGCAAATGAAGAATGTATCGGGAATGTATTTCATCTCTATTCATAAATGTTAATTCCTTTCAATTCTGAGAGCGGCGCCACTTTCTAGATACAAATTGTTGCCATGCAAGGGTTTCGTAGCCTCTAACTTTTTAGGTTCATTTTTCATTTTGAGTGGATGAAAAAATTAGTACATATTTGTCAATATATGTTCCTGTCGACTCACTTTTTCGATATTTGATTCAGTTTCTTCTAAAAAAAACGCAAAATAACGTATTTTATGATGATTTTCCCTTTTTTTTTTTTTTAAGAACTGAATCAAATTTCGAAAAAGTAAGACGACAGGAACATAGATACGATCTTCACGAATACGTACAAATTTTTTCATTCACTCAAAATGAAAAATGACCCTGAAAAGTTAGGGAATACGAAACCCTTGCATCATTGCTTTATATCATATTACAACTTCCTCTTGAGGGCACAGATTGGTTTTAGGAAAAATATGTGGAAGAATCATGAAGAAAAAAATTTCTCAATATTTTATTCTTTCTTGATAAAACATTTAGCTCATATTCATTGTGATGAAATTGTTTCAGTCCATTGCTAAACAGATTATTTTTTCAGAATGTGGGCCATTTCAACTTCCATCGGGAATGGAGAAGGTGGTTCTGAGGATAATTCCATGTACACTCTGTACACTGTATCTATAGTTCTAACTGAGGAAGGTCTGAAGAATATTTCTGAAGTGAGTAACAGAAATATATCTGCACAATGTGAAGTTGATTGTTAGGAAACGTCGTATACAGTGTGTCCCACTTACCATGCTCACCATGGGTATCTTTTTAACGGTGAGAGATACGAGGTCGGTTAAATGACACCAAATGTGGAGTTTGTCAAGGCCAACTATAATGTGAAAAAATATTTTGATAAAATCTATTCGTTTTTGTTTTATATGCAAAGAACAGATTTTGATCATTTTCATGTCTCCTCCGTAACTTCTTTATTTATGAAAATATTCAAATAGGAATTTCATATTCTCATGGCAGTTTTTCAAAGTGATTTTGGAAAAAATATGAAATTTATACCAACTCTTCTAGAATTTGAGATATCAGCACCAACTTTAGTTTTACAAATGTAGGTCATAGCTCACTATGACTTAGTTACAAATAACTTTTTTTCCTCTTTCCGATGATATGTTGCAGTAATAGTTTTGTGTTGATAACAACGGAGTTATCGTCATTTATACAAAAACAAAAATTATTTGGAAGCCGCCATCTTGAATTTATAAATTTTAACAAGAAGATCATGATCTCCGACCTCAAAAACCCCTACTTATCAATTTTGAATGGAATCGGACCAAATCTTGTCCGCCATCTTGGAGCAGCCATTTTTTTTAATTTCAACAAAAATTCCATAATGTATTGTCACCGAAATTATGAACACCTGCCGAATTCAAAGTTAATCAGAGAGAACTTTTGTTGAAATTAAAAAAAAATGGCTGCTCCAAGATGGCGGACAAGATTTGGTCCGAATCCATTCAAAATTGGTAAGTGAGGGTTTTTGAGGTCGGAGATCATGATTTTCTTGTTGAAATTTATAAATTCAAGATGGCGGCTTACAAATAATTTTTTGTTTTTGTATAAATGACGATAACTCCGTTGTTATCAACACAAAACTATTACTACAACACATCATCTGAAAGAGGAAAACAAGTTATTCGTAACTAAGTCATAGTGAGGTATGACCTACATTTGGAAAACTAAAGTTGGTGCTGATATCTCAAATTCTAGAAGAGTTGGTATAAATTTAATATTTTTTTCGAAATCACTTCGGAAAACTGCCATGAGAATGTGAAATTCCTATTTGAATATTTTCATAAATAAAGAAGTTACGGAGGAGACATGAAAATGATCAAAATCTGTTTTTTGCGTATAAAACAAAAACGAATAGATTTTATCAAAATATTTTTTCACATCATAGTTGGCCTTGACAAACTTCACATTTGGTGTCATTTAACCGACCTCGTATCTCTCACCGTTAAAAAGATACCCATGGTGAGCATGGTAAGTGGGACACACTGTATATGATCAAATTTACACAAAATTCTTCATAACAAGACATATTTCAACTTCTAATTCGAAATTTAGACTTTGATATCTCATTTTTAGTACTCACCTACCTAAAACGTTTCATTCATTTTGATTGAATTGATTTAACAGGTAAACAGGTTATCCACATATGGGTAATCAGTTGCCAATCACTGTATATCCCTTCAATATTGATATTGAATGAATAACCAGGCCTTGTTTGTGCCTTTGTCTTGACATCATTTTAGGTAATAGGCGTTGTCTTTTCTTATATTAATTTGATGAAACGCTTAGGACCACAGAAAAGGATATTTGATGAGTTAAAATCAATAGGGGATACTGCGTTTCAATTTGCCACAGAGGAGCCTGCTTCTGACATGGTAGAAAATTTGTGCGAGGACATGCAGTTTTATCCCCCGGAAGATTATATTGCGGGCTCCGAACTTTATTACGAGTTCGATCCTCAGGTAGGTAATGGAACATCCTGTATTTTTTCACATATTTCAATTTGTCATTATTATCTTGTCTACAGGACCATATAATATTTTTGTAATAGTTTTGCGGCGTTGTCATCAAATTAGAATTATTTCGAAAAATTATTAGACAAGAATAATGTTGATTTCAATACTTGCTGATTTTAGTTTTCAAAATTTTCATCTAAAATTTTGCATGGACTTTGATATATCGAAGACTGGAACCATTGGCACGATAATACACTACATACTGTTTTACCACTAACCAAACCGTTTTTTTACACCTCGACATGTGTTTTGCTTACTATGTTAGCATCTTCAGGAGAAGATAAAAACTAAATGCTCTATCCTAGTGTGCTACTTATATACTAAATATATGTTCACCCAACCGTGTATAGACAATAACCGCCAAGACAATGTTATTCATGGTTGAGTTCACATGTTATATTACTAAACTATACAGAGGGCTAAATGGGGTAGGTCCATTATCCTTATTCATTACTCTAGTACTATTCTTAGCTTTCATATGCATCTAATTTTCTAACATTATTAAATTGCTTAACTAATTTAAGGTTATTAATATGTGTGTTATGATTGTGATAGAACATGTGTTCGGCTACACACGATTTATCTAACCTGCCATATTTCAAAGGTGCTAAGTGTTCTTTGCACCTTGTTTTTATGGGACGCCTGGTTTGGCCTATATATGTTTCATCGCAATCATTACAACTAATTTCATATATTCCTGACTTTTCAAGTGTGTGCACCTTATCTTACGGATTACCTAATAAATTGCCTAACTTTGACAAAAACTGATAAAAGCTTTCAAAACCTAAGTCTTGGAAAACCTTATCAAGTCCTCTTGTGTAATTGGGATTGAAGGGGATTGTGCTTTTTCTCGAATTGTTTTCATCCGCTTGAAAAGTCGAAGAATTCCTGAGTGATAACTTAAATTTATGTCTACGTATCTACTATTTTGATATCATAACCATTGACTTTGATGATATTTCGATTAGCGCTCCAATGAAGTCATAATAGTTGGGAGTGATCTTACAGTTTGTAATGATATAATAAACTGTCAATGTTGACTTCCTTCAAATGGTCATAACTTTATATTTGAGTAGGAATCCAAATGTAACCTTTCGTGAATAAGTCAATCACTTATCTTAAAGCATGCAATTTGTCATTGCATGTTTTTTTATTGATGATAATAAAATATAGACAAATATTTCGATAACTTGAAGAAAATTTATGATTAATTTTTTCAATTATTCGATTTTCCATTCTTGCGATTTAACTGATAAACTGAAGTACAAAGACAAAAATTGAAATTCAACATAATTTTTAGGCAATAGAAATGGTTGTTGATAATCTCCGACCTAGAAATATGAACGTCATGATACTAACAAAAAACTCCCCAAATGGAGAAAAATTTGACAAAGTTGAAAAATGGTTCGGCACCGAATATACTGATAAAGGTGAGGGTTCAGATTTCCTTGTTCACCAAATGAATCATGTTTATACTCTACATTATTTAATAAAATTGAATAGCACAATTTTTTTAGATATACCGGAGGAATGGTTGATTAAATGGGAAAATACAGAACCTTACCCGGACCTAGCTTTTCCACCGCCTAACCCATATTTAACGAGCGATTTTTCCCTATTACCGGAAACTGTTGATCATCCAGATTATCCCGTGAAAGTAACTGGTACCCCTCTTGTCGAGATGTGGTACAGGAAAGATCAAAAATTCAAATTGCCAATAGCTTATTATAATTTCTATCTCATCAGTCCCAAATCTGTGGAGTCTCCTGCTAGGTAAGTCATGCCTGTGAGAAGAAAATCATGCAATGCGATTATTATTTGTCATATCAAAAATTTATTTCTTGAGAGCTACAGAAGAGCTACCTTATGGATTCGGTTTTTCTCTTTTCAACCATACAAACACAGTCGAAGACATTTTGAATGATTGAACTTCCCGTGATTGTGCCTTTGGCACAAAAATTTCTAAGCGGTGACATCAAAATAGGCGAGTGGACTTATAATTGTTGAGGGGGGACAACTGAGAAGCTGCTTAAATAATATCCACGTCTTCAAATATCAAGTTTGTATTCTAGGACAATAACACCTTCACAGCTCTCTAGTCTCAACTCTACTAGTCATCCTCACTATTCCCTGTCACCCTCTCTTATCTAGCTTATGTAACTCCTTAATAATGCATTCAATATCTCTTAGTCATAAAACCAGCACCCGTCGATATTCTAAACATAATACGGGGTGATGGTACTGAATCACACAACGTATATAATAATGATGATAATATAATACTAGTGATTAATGTAATTTGGTGGGTATCTCTGGAGTGTTTCTAACATAATGAATTACTGGCATTCAATTACTCCACTTTGTCGTTAGGGACCTAAATTAATTTTTGCAACACTTCTCGCACTTCTTTATGTACATAATGAGTGTATGCGTTGTTCGAAATGGGCTTATATCACAAAAAAAATTATTTCATAATTCGATAGACATCACCCAAACTAGCTCACCACCGCAAACCGTTTCTTGCTGTGAACTCCCTACGTTTTATGAAAAAATATTGAAATCCCCGATTTTTCGGACCTCTGAAAACGAGGCGATGGTGTGACGTCAAAACCCTAATACTGAAACGAGACTATTCCAGGCAGAGATGAATGATACATGATTTCTGACTGAGTGAATTAGCGCGAGATCACAGTTGAAAGAATTAATATATCAGTTGCCTCAGTCTCCGTCGGGCGTTTGGTATTTTCTTTTAACTATGGCGAGATGAGGTTCCTACGTCATAAGAGGGTCCGTCTTCAGAAGGTACTCTTATTTATGTCCAAAAATAAAACATTCCAGTTAATTTTTCGATCGAATTATGTCGTCAATCATTATTTATGTATAAAAGGATCATCATAAACATGGTTTGAGTTGAAAGTTCTACTAAGGTGTACACGCCCATTGTTGAATTTCGGAGCGCATTTCAAACGTACCGTCATGGCCACCATTTGACGATTTGTCAAATAAATGGCGACGTCAGCTTTTATGCTATTTTGTTATTGGTCATATAATCTCTCATTCCCACTCACGAAGCAAGGTTGTCAATTCACCAGTTATAATCAAGTTAGAAAAAAGATGTAAGAGTCCTGTCGTTGATTAAAATATTATAGGAGGAACCCGTGATATTATAGTTCATTCTCGACTTTTTCAAGCAATCAGCATGTCCAAATAGTCCTTATACTCCATAACAAAATATCATGTAAATGTTGGATACTTAGCAAGACCACGCCCACAAGTCGTGCGCGTCGTGTTGTCACGTTCACCGCTTCAAATGTACTCTAGTGTGAATCAATATGATTACTACTTACACAAATGTATTGTATGCAATAATATTTCTTGAGTTCCCAATCGTATTTCAAGACATGGCAACTGTGCAATGGTCTGCCCCTACTTACGAAATCGTGACGTCAGCTTTTACTCGCAGTAAAGGACCCCGCACATTTAGTACGGAAAATGGCTTTCAGCTAATTTATCTGAAAATTTGATATGTTACAGATATTAGCATCCCTGCTACACAGTCCAATTTACAGATCGATCATATGACCAGTTTTCGAGCTACCGAGTGTCAATCATTTGAAATGGTCTGTTCAGAATATTCTGCATCGATTTAAATTATCTGCTCTAAGCCATGATAAATCTTCAGTAGAAATGAACCCTCCACGTCTAATTTCTACCTCATGAATCCCTCTATTCGAATAGATAATAATATCACATACAGAGTATTGAATTCCATCATGACAAGGTAATATTCATATGAATAGACATATTGAAAATATCAGAATTTCGATTTTTACTCAATCACTGAAGACTTGAAAACAAACGGCAAGAATCGACCAATTATTCAACACACTATATATGATTTCCTCTGATACAATGTCCGGTTTGCCATATATGCGTTGATGACAATTTGAAAGCTTAGAATTGATGTAACTAAAATGTCCATGAACCATTCATGATATGTATCTCATTTTGTACATGGGTTACATCAAATCTAAGCTTTCAAATTGCCATCACCCTATGTATGGCAAAGCGGACATTGTATCAGAGGAAATCATATGAATCCTCATGTTGATGATCAAGATCCATAGTGTGTCAAATAATTGGCCGATTTTAGCCGTTTGTTTTCAAGTTTTCAGTGATTGAGTAAAAATCGAGATTCTGATATTTTCAATATTTGTTTATTACCATGAATATTACCTTGTCATGATGGAATACCATGTATGTGATATTATTATCTATTCGAATAGAGCGATTTATGAGGTTGAAGTTAGACATGGAGCGTTAATTTCTACTGAAGATTTATCACGACTTAGAGCACATCATTCAAATCGATGCAAAATATTCTAAACAGCCAAAATCAAATAATCGACACCCTGTTACTCGAAAACTGGTCATAGGATCGATTTATGAGTTGGACTGTGTAATAAGGACGCTAATATCTGAAACATATCAAATTTTCAGAAAAATTTGCCGAAAGCCATTTTCCGTACTAAATGTGCGGGGTCCTTTCTATCCGTTTGAAAATTAACGTGGCATTATTGATGATTTTAGAACCTAAAAATCGACCAAAAAATTCTAAAAAATATGAAATTGAAAGATATCCGAGTGATGATTCTATTTAAGAAATAAAAAAAATAGTCCACTCACCTGTTATACAGTGTAGAAGTTTGGGTGAAGAAAGGGGTCTATTTCTTACTTAGGGTTTGGAATATCTGAATTTATTTCAATGTCACCTTGTATACGTGTTCTAGTGTTGAAACATTTTCAATTTCCAATTTAACCGAATCATAACATTGTGGAACATTTTTTTAACTGAAGATAATATGACTCTTGCAGCATTTCAATGTCAGATATGTTCATGAATCTTCTTGCTTTTTCCATTGCTGAAGAGGCTTATCCAGCCTCCAGTGCTGATCTCATGTACAGCTTCAATTCCTATGAAAAAGGGATCATCATCAAAGTGAATGGATATAATGAGAAATTGCCGGTAAGTTTGTTTTCTCTAAATGTCTTTGGGATTTTTCCACCTCGTTTTTACAAGGCGATAAAAATATGGCGAATAAGAAAGTGCCAACAAACTGATTTATATTAATTGATCATGATCTTCCATCTTTTTATAATTTAATGGATAGTTGCTCTTGGGATTTCATTGATAACAAAGCTTCGGATCTGAATCACAAGTTTGAATTATTTATACAAACTCTGATAAAAGCATATGAAACATCCTTTCCTGAAAAAAAAAACACTTGTGGGTCTAATAAAATACCAAGCAATAACTGGTTCAATGATGAATTACGTAGCATGAGAGAAAGATTACATTTTCTGAATGAAATATGCAAAAAAATAACACACTTGACAATGGCACAATAAAAAATAATTATCGTATACGTTACAGAAAAGCTATTAAAGAAGCAAAGATAAGGGTGAATGATCGTCTCATAAATTCTTCAACTAACCCCTCAAAAACAGTCTGGGACTTGATCAACGCAAATAATACAAAGATGAAACCTAAAAAATGCCAACTTACTAGCGATCATCAGGCTCAATGAATTCCCAGAGTTATTGAAAGTTGCAACTCTGATTCCAATTTTCAAGGAAGGAGACGTTAACGAAGCGTCCAACTACATACCCATATCCCTCCTCCGATCGAAAATTTACGAAAAAATATTAAAAATGCAACTAGTATCATATCTTGACACAAATATTATTTTGAATCAAAACCAGTATGGATTCAGAGAGAACTTTGGAACCACTGACGCGATTCTCAACCTCATTAATGTGATTTTGCAGTCTTTCGAGAGAGGAACATACTCAGTTTCTGTCTTTTTTGACCTTAGTGAAGCCTTCGACTGTGTATCTGAAAGAATATTTGTTGAAAAGTTGCCTAATCATGGTTTTGGCACCAACTGCATAATGTTATTAGAAAATTACCTCAAGAATCGTAAACAATCTGTCTTACTTAATGAAAATATATCACACCAATTAGTAATCAAAAATGGAGTACCACAAGGCTCTATTTTAGGACCTGTGCTATTCCTCATATATATTAACGACTTTCCAATGGCGATGCATAACTTAAGATGTACTCTCTACGTGGATGATACCACTATCTCTACAAGTGGAGCCGAACTAGACAATCTTCTGATACAATGTGAAGATATACAGTCGAAGGCTGCCGCATGGTTTGCAACAAACAAACTAGCTCTGAATCAGACAAAGACAGTAACGATGATATCATCAGCGAAAGATGTGACCCACCAATCTGAAAACCCGAATTTTGTGAAGTTCCTGGGAATATACATGGATTCAAAACAACTATGGGATGTCCAGGGGAATAACCTAGCAACATCATTAACCAGAACTATATATGCTCTGTGACAACTTACATTCAAAAAGTCAAAACATATATCCTACTAACAGCATATTTTGCGCTACTCCACTCCAGAATGATATACGGAATACTCGCTTGGGGACATGCGACAATCTGGCATAGAATCTACAGCTCCAAAAAAGAGCTCTTAGAATCGTGGGAGGAGTGGACTATCGTGATGATGTTAAGAATATATTCATACAGCAAAAAATACTCACTTTACCTTGTGTTTATATTTTTGGAATGTCTAACATTTGTAAAAAATAACCCTGATTTACGTTGCATAAAAAAATCATGATTACAATACTAGATATAGAAATCACATTTATCCAAATTTATTACGCCTGAACAGATCAAAGACTGTAACCTCTTACTTTGGTCCTCGTTTCCGATCTGTAATAAAATCGTTTTTGATTGATTGTCTTTATTACCCCAAGAAACATAGTTGTTTATAATAGGGATACATAAACAATATACATAGTGTTATACATACAATTATGAAATTATAATAAGATATAACAAGTAAAAAAAAATGCAAATAATCATGCAATATCAACCTAGTATTTTATAAGTAGGTATTCAAATAGGAAATGGAATTATCAAAGTCTCTGAAGCAGATATTTTTTTAAGTTAATTTTGAATCTAGTTGCTGAAGAATGCTTTTCAAAATATTCAAGATATTATTGATTCCATTAGAAATTTGAAAACCTGATACTAGTTCTGTATAGTGTACTATTTGTTATACACTTTTATCTTTTTACAATATTTTGTGCTGTGTCTTAAACTATTGCAAGATTTCTTGTAAATCTTTAAACAGAATCTATACTACTACTACTACTTCTACTACTTTCATAAGTCAACCATTTGTACATTTTATTTTACAGATTTTGGTAGACCTTGTAGCGAATTATTTAGTGACGTTTGATAATCATGTAACTGAAGGAATGTTCAATGCTGTGAAGGATAAATTACTCAAAAGTTATCATAACAGGTTGCTCAAACCATCGGCTTTTGCAAAGTAAGTGTAGACTTTCTGATGTAATGATGAACAAGTTTCCATGTTTCCAATAACAAAATACGAATATTTTTCATTTGATTCCTTCCAGAGATATTCGTTTGAATTTATTGTTGAATAATTATTGGAAACCCACGGACAGATATTTGGGACTGTCGAATACCACTTACGGCGATATGAAGAACTTCATCAAGGACTATACGAAATCATTGTATATCAAATCTCTTGTTCAAGGAAATGTGTCGCAAGAAGTTGCTTGTGAAGTTGTCAATAAATTCGTGGAAACTCTGAAGTCGAATCATCTGTCAGAAGAACAATATCCACTGGTTAGTAATGATAACTCCCACGAATTTTCTGCAGAAAAAACTTCATTTCTCTTTTCTCTTCAGTTTAGGGTTGCTCAAGTTCCGATAGGTGAGAAGTGTTGCCGGATAGAAGGATTCAATAAAACAGATGCAAATTCAGTGATTGTTAATTACTATCAATCCTCACCTTTTTCGATGGAAACCAGTGTCATTATAGATATAATCATGGTGAGTCATTCGATAGAATGTAATGTGAATTGATTACAATTAATTTTTCATGAGTTAACACGATCTATACAGAGTGGGTCACGGTACCTTTGACGTTTACGGAGATCGGGACATAAAATCATTCTGAAAATTTGTTTACTCAAGTAGTTGCTTCTGGTCTATCGATCTAAAATTTGTTCAGCAATGCAGCGTTGCGCTTATACTAGAAAATAGTAGCAACTTTCATGTTGAAAATTTGTTTATTGAAGTAGTTTCTTTTGGTCTATCGATCTTAAATATTTTCAGCAATGCAGCATTGCCGCTTATACCAGAAAATAGTAGCAACTTTGATGTTATAAATAGAACACCCTGAATTCCATTGCATTTTTAGATTCTCCCTGAAGAGCTGATTTCATAAACTCATCACACTTGGGGTCTAGCGGGAATGATTACAGAGATAGGGTGTTCAGAATCGAGATTTTTCAACTTGAGTTTTTTTTGGGTCAAAACTATCCATTATCCGTCAAAACGGCTTTCATGTCCCTACTGAAATGGTTGTAATAATTGATGTATCGTCCTAATATCGTGAGTTAATTTCGGATGATTTTTTTGAACTCAATGAAATTATTGGCAATCTTCTGGGACCGATTAGGGTATGGAAAATATTCTGATAATATCGTCTAAGTGATGATCTTTGGATTTCTAAACCTATCAAGCATCAAAATTTCATTGTATTCGGGCCACAGCCAACCTCATGTATTTCAATAAAATGCAATTTAACAGCCAATTGTCGACGAATGTCAAATTGTGATACATAGTTGAATGAAGAATCTCAAGGCGAATAAGATAGAGTACAGAAATATACGGGGTGTCATTTGAAAAAAGAAGTTGGGACTACTTCCAATCAAACAGGTGGTTGAAAAAAATTGTCATTGGGTTCGAAGAAAGCGCCATCATCGATGATATAACCCTTGTGAATTTAAAATTTGCATTTCTCCAACTAAAAATACTAACGTGTAACTTAATAATAAGAACAACATTTATTGAGAAGAAACAAAAAACATACAATTTTCATAGAGGGAAAAAATTATAATAAATAAATCAAATATTGAATATCAATGAATAACAATCAGAATTAATTGATACAAGGAGAGAGTTGAATTGAAAAAAATATATTTCTTCAGTTCACACTTGAATTTCGTGACGAACCTAATAGATTTTATTCTGTTGGGTAGACTATTATGAATATTTGTTCCAAAAAAATACAATGATTTTTTTCCCGAATTGGGTAGGTTTTTATTCAGTCAGTTTTCAAATGTTCACTTTGTCTGGTGTCATGCTCATGGGTATCAGAATTAATATTGAAAGTAAGATTCGAATGCTTTCTCTAATTTTCAGTGAAATGGATGAAAATGCATACGTTCATTTTGAAGAGAGAGTCTCTAGCAGATCCCTTGGTTTGTATAGTCTAGATGTTGATTCCGGATATGGTAGTTTATTAATACATTTTATGGCTTTATAAGTATTTAAGAGGTATAAAGGACCTCAATTTGTATAATATACCAACCATGGAAGGTATATTTTTCTTGAGCAAATGAATATGCGATGACCAAGATAAAGATTGGTCTGTTAGTTAGTACAAAAAAGGATCTATTTGGTTATCAGGTATAGGTAACTCTTTTCGAGATAACATAAAAGAAGATTTATCGAAACTGATTGTCAATTTATGATCTTGTAACCATAATGTAATTATCTTCGGCAAATAATTTTAAATTGCCTTGTAAATTCAAACTTGTGACTTCGCATTCTGTTTCGTTTGTTCGTTGTTAAATTCGGATATTAATATTCTATGAAATCATGTTATGCTATGGAATGATGTTTCTCGAGTAGTAGGAAAGATAATGGAGCGAATTCAAAAAAGAAGTTTTGAAGAATGATTAGGCTAAGGTCGATGGAATATGGTGTAATCACAAACAGTGTTTTGTTCCTCCTGAAACGCTTGACCGCAGATTCCGCAATAATGGCATATTAATTCTCAGTTGTCCGCAAGATGGCGACACTTTTTAAAGATTTCTTTCATGCCAGAAAACAGGAAACGGCGCTTACATACCGCTTGCACCAGAAATAATAATATCGTAACATTCATAACATAACCTCAAATCAAATGAGATTAAATTTTAAAGCACGAAACTGTAATTTTGGTGAATTTTTATTATCATCAGTTCTACCAACCTTGAATTTTGGTTATGATTTCGCCATCTAACGGGTAAAATGCGACCTATATTCCGCGATATTGAAAAGATTCCTTCTGCCAAGTAGACCATAGGTCAAGAACTTTGACCGAAAAACAGTAGATAGATAGTAGATTTGATGGGACACCATCATCTGTTCATCCTAGATTAGGCAAAGTATAATTTAACTTTTAACTTTATAATGTAACTGTTATACACTACAGAGTATTACAAATTCCATGAAAAAAAAACACGCCATAATAGCTGCAAGGGTATGTATAAAAAAGTGATTTTCATGTAAATACAGTTTACACTTACATTTACCAATGTTCAGAAGAAGATAACCTGCAATACCTTGCCTGCAATTCAATCAAAAAACGTCCAAAGGGGACAAGTAGTTTTGACGAAAACGTATATATCTTGAGCTTTTACTGACAGATATTTTGGCTCATGCATTCCAGATGATGATAGAAGAACCGTTATTCGACATCTTGCGAACGAAAGAACAACTCGGGTACCACGTGTTCTGTTCGACCAGAGACACGTTCGGCATCTTGGGCTTCACCATAACCGTCAACACCCAAGCCACCAAGTACTCCACCAGCCATGTCGATCAGCGTATCGAAGAGTTCCTGAGGCACACCAGGTAGGGGTGGGCGATAGTGATTTTGGATTATAGATAATCCCAATGTTTCGATATTATCGATTGACTGTATCGAACATAACATTTTACTGGATATAAATATGGTATACGCGGTAACTCCCACAACTGGTTCAAATCATACCTCAAAAATAGAAAAGAAATAGTCCAACTATCATCTGAGCAAGGTGAAGTTAGGTCAAGTGCCTTGGGTGTCCCGCAGGGTAGTATCCTAGGTCCAATACTTTTTATAATATACGTGAATGACATAAAAAACGTAGTAACAGATTGTTCCACCAAAATTTTGAATAATGCTGATGACATTAACTTCTTACTAAGTGGTCCCAATTTCATTGATGTCATTGAAAAAGGAACTTTAATAATGAGGAGGACGAAAAATTATTTCAATGAGAATGAGTTACTTATCAACAATGAAAAAACGGATTGTATGTGACTGAGAATCAACAATATTATTGAAATGCCACGTTCTATCAACATCGGCAATAAAAATATCACATGTAATAACACTGTTGAATTTTTAGGGGTTTATATAAATGATAAAATGACATGGACAAATCATTTACTTATGCGATAAGAGTACTGAAACACAATGTTGATCAGAGCACATTAATCACAGTCATTACGCCAATCCTTATTCATAAATGAAATTTGGGATTAGGACATGGGGAGGATGTTTCGACTTGAATAAAGTTTTTATATGCCAGAAAAAGTAGTGAGGATAATTTTTTATCTGAAAAGGGACGACTCATGCCGGGGAATTTAAAAAAAATAACATCTTAACGGTACCAGCTTTGTTTATTTATGGAGCTATTAAGTTCCGGACCACACATCAATATCACTTCAACAGTCACAAAACGAATCATGAACGTAGCACGAGACTAAAAAACAATTATAATCACCCAATTCACAAAAAATTATTTTTGAAACAAGTTCACTGTATAATGCAATAAAATTCTATAACAATCTTCCACTTGAGATAAAAGCTATGCAAAATACCAAAAGATTCCTTGGCTTGGTACGGAATAGGGAATTTCACCATGATTTTTTGATTTTTTTTTTTCACGATTTAGAACATACTGGGTGAATTCAGCAATTTTTTCAATTTCAATTTATATTATTGACTTTACCTATGACTTCCACCTCCCAAGTTTCGAAGTTCATCAATAATGAAACGATAATGCGATTTTTCCGTTGGGCTTAAATGGTCAATTCATAACAGGTTGATTCTTCAATCTAAAACATAGTTGGTATTAAATCTCGAATTATTAATGAATTGAGGGTTGAAATTGTAGAAGTTACATGGAATAAGAAACTGAAATGCATACGAAAACTTTTTTCAAATTCCGGTGCTGAAATGCGACATATTGTTCTTAAATGAACGAAACTTATCACCGATTGCTGATTTTATGTCTGGGTTCCTCTTCTGTGCGATTTTTCCGTTGGGCTTAAATGGTCAATTCATAACAGGTTGATTCTTCAATCTAAAACATAGTTGGTATTAAATCTCGAATTATAAATGAATTGAGGGTTGAAATTGTAGAAGTTACATGGAATAAGAAACTGAAATGTATACGAAAACTTTTTCGAATTCCGGTGCTGAAATGCGACATATTCTTCTTGAATGAACGAAACAGATAGCCAACAGTTTTCTCCTTAATGAAAAACACTGTATATACCTAACCCACCAGGCGCCTACCTCGGTTGCAATGAGGGTTTACCGACGCCAAGGGTTGATACTCTCCCCTCGTAAGGGTACCTGTCGTGTCTCCATAGAGACATAAAGGTGACTACTGAAACATTTTCTATGATATATCGCCTTCCATAACAAATAAATAATTAATTTTGAAAAAATATTCTATATGAATTGAATACGACACAGGAATGGGAAACTTATCACCGATTGCTGATCTTATGTCTGGGTTCCTCTTATGTGCGATTTTTCCGTTGGGCTTGAATGGTCAATTCATAACACGTTGATTCTCCAATCTAAAACATAGTTGGTATTTGATCTCGAATTATAAATAAATTGGGAGTTGAAATTGTAGAAGTTACATGGAATAAGAACTTGAAATGTATTCGAAAACTGTTTTCAAATTCCGGTGCTGAAATGCGACATATACTTCTTGAATGAACGAAACAGATAGCCAACAGTTTTCTCCTTAATGAGAAACACTGTGAAACTTATCACCGGTTGCTGATTTTATGTCTGGATTTCTTTTCTGTGCGATTTTTCCTTTGGGCTTAGATGGTCAATCCATAACACGTTGATTCTTTAATCTAAAACATAGTTGGTGTTAAATCTCGAATTATAAATGAATTAAGGGTTGAAATTGAAGAAGTTACATGAAATTAGAAACTGAAATGTATACGAAAACTGTTTTTAAATTCCTGTGCTGAAATGCGACATATTCTTCTTAAATGAACGAAACAGAGAGCCAACAGTTTTCTCCTGAATGAGAAACTCTGTGAAACTTATCACCGGTTGCTGATTTTATGTCTGGGTACCTTTTTTTTGCGATTTTTTCGTTGGGCTTAAATGGTCAATTCATAACACGTTGATTCTTCAATCTGAAACATAGTTGGTATTAAATCTTGAATCGTAAATTCATTGAGGGTTGAAATTGTAGAAGTTACATGGAATAAGAAACTAAAATGTATACGAAAACTGTTTTCAAATTCCGGTGCTGAAATGCGACATATTCTTCTTGAATGAACGAAACAGATAGCCAACAGGTTTCTCCTTAATGAAAAACACTGTATATACCTAACCCACCAGACGCCTACCTCGGTTGCAATGAGGGTTTACCGACGCCAAGGGTTGAAACTCTCCCCTCGTAAGGGTACCTGTCGTGTCTCCATGGAGACATAAAGGTGACTACTGAAACATTTTCTATGATATATCGCCTTCCATAACAAATAATTAATTTTGAAAATATATTCCTTATGAATTGAATACGAAATGTATACGAGAACTGTTTTTAAATTCATGTGCTGAAATGCGACATATTCTTCTTAAATGAACGAAACAGAGAGCCAACAGTTTTCTCCTGAATGAGAAACTTCGTGAAACTTATCACCGGTTGCTGATTTTATGTCTGGGTTCCTCTTCAGTGCGATTTTTCCGTTGGGCTGAAATGGTCAATACATAACACGTTGATTCTCCAATCTAAAACATAGTTGGTATGTAATCTCGAATTATAAATAAATTGGGGGTTGAAATTGTAGAAGTTACATGGAATAAAAATCTGAAATGTATACGAAAACTGTTTTCAAAATTCCGGTGCTGAAATGCGACATATTCTTCTTAAACGAACGAAACAGATAACCAACAGTTTTCTCCTCAATGAAAAACACTGTGAAACTTATCACCGGTTGCTGATTTTATATCTGGGTTCCTCTTCTGTGCAATTTTTCCGTTATGCTTGAATGGTCAATTCATAAAAACGTTAATTCCTCAACCTAAAACATAGTTGGCATTAAATCTCGATTTGAAAATAAATTGGGGGTTGAAATTTTGAAGTAACATGGAATAAGAAATTGAAATGTATACGAAAACTGTTTTCAAATTCCGGTGCTGAAATGCGACATATTCTTCTTGAATGAACGAAACAGATAGTCAACAGTTTTCTCCTTAATGAAAAACACTGTATATACCTAACCCACCAGGCGCCTACCTCGGTTGCAATGAGGGTTTACCGACGCCAAGGGTTGATACTCTCCCCTCGTAAGGGTACCTGTCGTGTCTCCATGGAGACATAAAGGTTACTACTGAAACATTTTCTATGATATATCGCCTTCCATAACAAATAATTAATTTTGAAAAAATATTTCATATGAATTGAATACGACACAGGACTGGGAAACTTATCACCGGTTGCTGATCTTATGTCTGGGTTCCTCTTCTGTGCGATTTTTCCGTTGGGCTCAAATGGTCAATCCATAACACGTTGATTCTTTAATCTAAAACATATTTGGTGTTAAATCTCGAATTATAAATGAATTGAGGGTTGAAATTGAAGAAGTTACATGGAATTAGAAACTGAAATGTATACGAAAACTGTTTTCGAATTCTTGTGCTAAAATACGACATATTCTTCTTGAATGAACGAAACAGAGAGCCAACACTTTTCTCCTGAATGAGAAACACTGTGAACTTATCACCGGTTGCTGATTTTATGTCTGGGTACCTTTTCTGTGCATTTTTCCGTTGGGCTCAAATGGTCAATTCATAACACGTCAATTCTTCAACCTAAAATATAGTTGGTATTAAATCTCGAATCCTAAATGAATTGAGGGTTGAAATTGTAGAAGTTACATGGAATAAGAAACTGAAATGTATACGAGAACTGTTTTCAAATTCCGGTGCTGAAATGCGACATATTCTTCTTGAATGAACGAAACAGATAGCCAACAATTTTCTCCTTAATGAAAAATACTGTGAAACTCATCACCGGTTGCTGATTTTATATCTGGGTTCCTCTTCTGTGCGAGTTTTTCGTTGGGCTTGAATGATCAATTCATAACAGTTAATTCTTCAACCTAAAACATAGTTGACATTAAATCTCGACTTGAAAATAAATTGGGGGTCGAAATTTCGAAGTAACATGGAATAAGAAACTAAAATGTATACTAAAACTGTTTTCAAATTCCGGTGCTGAAATGCGACATATTCTTCTTAAATGAACGAAACAGATAGCCAACAGTTTTCTCCCTAATGAAAAACACTGTGAAACTTTTCACCGGTTGCTGATTTTATATCTGGGTTCCTCTTTGTGCGATTTTTCTGTTAGGCTTGAATGGTCAATTCATAACACGTTGATTCTTCAATCAAAAACATAGTTGGTATTTAATCTCAAATTATAAATAACTTGGGGGTTGAAATTGTAGAAGTTACATGGAATAAGAAACTGGAATGTATACGGAAACTGTTTTCAAATTCCGGTGCTGAAGTGCGACATATTCATCTTAAATGAACGAAACTTATC